ATATTTATTGGAATTAATACATTTAATTAATTATTATATGAATTTTAATAAAAATGAAAACAATCACGAAATGCGATGTGGAAAAAATTTAATTGAAAATAACCACAAAATGAAATGTGGCGAAATCAAGGAGAGCATGTCATGTGGCAAAAAGTTCTTTATTTATTAGGGAATATTTATTGGAATTAATACATTTAATTAATTATTATATGAATTTTAATAAAAATGAAAACAACCACAAAATGTCACGTGGAAAAATTTTAATTGAAAATAACCACAAAATGACATGTGACGAAATCAAGAAGAGCATGCCATGTGACAAAAAGTTCTTTATTTATTAGGGAGGATAACAAACTTTTAATGGTTAACCATAAAAATACTTTTCGTAATAGTTAAAACCAAAAAATGATTGACAACTTTATATTGAGTAAATTACATTTTCCGTCAATAAGTTTGGTTATTTTTGCAAGTTTGGTATTAAAAGTAATTTTTTTCTCTTAAACCAAAACAACTATCCATTCTTTTTTTAAATCCAACTATTTTGCCCTGAACCAAAATCGAAAATATACGGGTGGCATATTTGTAATTTTCTTTCATGTTAAATTTAAAATATTTTTAGTCTAATAAATTGAATGATTTATAATTATCTATGCTTTAAAACCCAAGTCGAAGCGGTCGGTCGAACCGTAAGCCGATGAAGAGACCAAGCCGATTATTTTTAGACAAAAGAATTGATGAAAACACAATAGAGTATTTTCAATCTAACTTTATTCATGTAAATTATTAATATCATATAATTCTATAGACGATAAGCTAATTTTTATAAATATTATTCAAAGAAAAAAAAAAGGTAAAAGAAAAAGTGATTACAACTATAGTGCCAAAATGTAAACCAAAATATATTCGTTTGAATCAAATCTTTGTTTAAAGTATAAAATCAGTGTATTCCTTTTGATAGTCTTAGCAAAAAAGTATATGGTTATTTCAAAGGCAACATGAATATAATAGACCTCACAACTATTTATTAAAATTAAAAACAATTAATAAAAGAAACACATGAAAAAATATTAACTTAAACATTAAAATACAAAATGTGATTACACTTATAAAACTGAATCATCTCTTTCAATTTTGACGACTTTGGTCAATGCCATGTATTAATTACTATGCATATAGTTTTCAGCTACAAAGATAACCAATTCGTATTCTTTTCACTCCCATGTCGTTTTTACTTTATAGGACTCATGCCTCCAGCTTTATACAAATCCCACCAAATAGAATTGAATTACTTTTAAATCCAAAGAACCAAAAATTATTTAAATTACTTTGAACTTTGCTATCAATCACTAAAACATTAGTTTGAACTTAGTTGTAAAACACTAATACTCAATGTCACTTTGAGACTAAAAGACAAACAAAGCTTATTTGAATAAACAAACAAAAACCTCAACTTTACCTTAGAATGTAAAACAAACAAAAGCTTTTAGAATCAAAACATGGGTTGCATTTGACTCAAAAGCAAAAGCCTTCAAAATTAAAAAGAAAAACCTCAACTTACCTCACATGATAACCTTTAGAAACAAAAATCAATTGAATAAAAACCTTTAAGAGTCTACATGCACACACTGTTAACAGCCATTTCAGTACATTTCAGTACCTGCAAACAAAAACCCGCAATCAAAAACTCACAGTTAAACACACAAACATATAATTAAATAGAGGGTTAAAGTAGAAACTTCTCAATTTCCTACAAAATAGTACAAAACAAAAATACGATGATTTTGCGTTAAATTTTGAAAAATAAAGTACGTTTATCCAATTCCATTCCCAAGAAACAACAAATACTTTCATTTACTTTCTTACTATAGCATTTTATTTCCAATGTTTTTTTAATAAATTTTACTTAATTCCCACCATTACCTTCTAGATCATGTAACTCAATCATTAATCATAAACTTGTTTCTTGTTTTTTTTCTTCTTCATATACAAATAAACTCAGTTTGTAACTGAGGAACAGGGGAGATACCTTCAAATAATATTTGAGCAACAAAGAAAGATGGAAAACATAAGCCCCCTTCATCAGATCAAGATCAAGACTGACTACCTTGAAACAGACATATCAAAAGCTTCAAAATCAAACATATTTGTAAGGGTTAAAGTAATTGAATAAATTACTGTAAATATGAACAAACGAATGATATGAAATCTAAACCAGTAGAAATTTCATCCGCATACGAAATTGCATAAGAACACAACTTTTAATGCTTAAAATGATAAATTAAGGGTACCTAGATGCACAAAAAAAAGCATGCAAATGTCCAGCATGTCGTTCAGAAAACCCTATGACTGACAAAATTAGACGCACACGGTTACAAAATATCAAAACAAGGTGTTTAAAGCATAGAAATCGTTTGAAATCGAAGAACCTGTTCAACATCTCTCTGCACAATCGTTGACAGTAGCAAAACGAAATAGAGGATATGTTTCGTAAACTAAAAACTCGTAATCGAACATTAATACTAATATTACAAAATTTCAAAATATGCGTACCGTGGCTTGTAGGCTTTAAGTTCACCTACCTTCTCCAATATCGAATACTCGGCTTCAATGACATATTGCAAAAAGGTGGATTGCAAAATTAGGGTGGGTGTGAAATGAGCAAGGACATCTCGTTTGAACGTGCTTGACAAGGTAGATGCCAATGCGGAAGGAGGCAGACGCATATCGTTTATCTGGACCGGCCGAGAAAGAGGGAGATAAGGGGTTTAGGGCTTTTTTTAGAGAGACACGGAGAGGATAGAGCAGCGATGGTGGTTCAGTGGTGGTGTGAGTGGTGGTGTGACAGGGGTAAACGATGTTGGTGATGGGTCTTAGGGCTTTACAATTGATGGAGTAAAACGGGAAATGATTCCAGCCAAGAAGAAGAGCCCCGATATAAGGGAGTATGAACCAGAATTGAATATTTTTGCCAGGATCTAAGGCTTCAAAGACGACTCGGGGATCAAAGGGCTGGGTCAAACGAATCCCAAGAAATAAGGAAGCCTATGCATTGTACTATTGTATTTCGGGGGTGTTTGGCTTATCTTTTGAGAGGCCAAAAATCCTTTTAGAAAAAGATAAATGATAAAAGATGTTTGGTAAAAGCACTTTTAAAAGCTACTTTTGAATTTTGGATATAAGGAAAATTAATTTGGCTTATCTTTTGAGAGAGCAAAAGTCCTTTTAGGAAAAGATAAATAGTAAAAGATGTTTGGTAAAAGCACTTTTAAAAGCTACTTTTGAATTTTGGATATAAGGAAAACCAACTTTTTGGAAAAGTCAGGAAAACCTGACTTTTTGCAACTTTTCCTAAAAGGACTTTTGGCCTTTCAAAAGAAAAGCCAAACGTCCCCTCAGTTTGAAAGTTTGTATACGGACTCAATCAAACGATAAAAGATTTTTGACTTTTCCAAATTGTTGACCAAATAAGATTTATATTTTTATAAATTGATTGTACAAATCGCTTTCTATTTTGTACCTTTTAAAATTCAGCATTTGAGGCTAAATGCTTATTAAGGTACTAGCCGTTTACCCGTGCTAAGCGTCGGACGGCAAAAAGTTTCTTTCGGAATATAGTTTTAATGTGATGATTAGTTTCCTTTAGACTATTTTGTGTCGAATAGTTTATTTCAACGCATAGTTTCTTGCTAGGTGCATAGTCATACAATACGACATAAGTTGAGTCTACATTTGGAATTTCATCTAATAGTTCATACTTGATTTTACAATATATAAATAACAACAATTTGCAATCATGTAGTTTTGTACATTTATAACATGTCCAATATATAAACTACACCAATCTGCAATCATGTTGCTTCATCTGCTAGCCCTGCATTAAACATGAAATGAGCATCTAAGATACATATTTGAAGAAACTGTAAAATAATAAGTTGTTGATTGTACCTTGTTAATCACATAAAACTTCTTTGTACACAACGTTTAATGTGTAGATTCCATCATTATCAAATGTTTTTTCCGGCTTTACTAATACCTTGGCAGGGGCAAAAAACGGTCACATTTGTTGCAATATTTTTTTTGGGAACACATAGTCACACAACAAACATAGTACTTTCGTTTCTAAAAAATGTTAAAATGATATTTTTTATAAAGTAGAATGCTATTTTCTGTATATTTTCAAAAGTTTTATTGGTAAATTTCATTTTTCTATAAAA